CGACCGCTCTTCTGGATTTAGTCACTGAAGATTCGGGAGCTTTCGGGTCACAGCAGCTTCAGTCCACGAGGAGAGAAAGAGACAGAGAAGAGTTTATCAGCTTCATTCTGAAGGTCAGTGTGTGTTTGTGCACGTCTGTCTGTCTGCTCGCTTTACTGACAAAAACACTGTGTTTGTACTGTTTTACACACACTTTCATTGCTCAGGAAACTTTTGAGTATTTAATTTAGTCTCAGATTGGTCTTTCCCTTAAAAAGTAGAATAATAAAAGAGACCCAAATGAGTCACTAGCTGTCATACAATAAGAGTATAGAGTTATAAAACTAATGTAGACAGCAGTTCAGATCGTTTGATGAGAAACGTTTTGAGCACAGATTGAGACAAAGAGATCTTTATTCTGAAATTCTAGCCCTAACTAAAACTGCAAAAAACATTTTCATTACATAAATTAAATGTTAACTATAATAAAATAAATCAATAGAAAAAAATCAGCTAGTTTCTCAGGCAACATTTCTCATTTTTTATTTTAAAGTACTAAAATAACTCAAATTAAATAAACAAAAACGAATAAAAAACTATATAAACAATTTTTAAAAACAAATAAAAATGACAAAAACATGCAACAAAATGACTAACATTTTAACTAAAATTATATATACTCATTAAAAATTAAAAATTACAAAAGCATGCAACAAAATTACTAAAACTTTAACTAAAATGCAACTAAAACTATATACATATATATATATATGAAAACCAAATGCTGTCAAACGATTAATCGCATTCAAAATAAAAGTTTTTGTTCACATAGTATACAGTATGTGTGTGTGCTGTGTATAGTTATGTTAAAATATGTCATGTTTATATATTAAATATATTTATAAATAATATAAATTTACATATATGCATGTAAATACATGAAAATATTTTGAAAATATATACATGCATGTGTGCATTTATAAATGCATAATAAATATACACAGTACACACATTTATTATGCAAACAAAAACATTTATTTTGAACGCGATTAATCGTTTGACAGCACTAATGAAATTAAAATGTAATTCAAAATATTAACAACAACTGTAATAGTATCTGAACGATGATGAAGAGACTTCAGCAGAAGTCTCCATCGAGTCTCATGGCTGTCGATGAGAAAGAACCGAGACGTTAGAGATCTCAGGAGATCTAGTACGTTTCTGATCTCGTGTTAAACTCAATGCTGCTGCAGTTCAAAGTGAATCAGTTCGTTTGGCTGAACTGATGCGAACAGTGTGTTTGTGGCTTTCCAGAGAAATCACTGACATGTGTGTCCAACTCTTATATTATGTGCAACGTCTGCATCATGCTGTCAGTTACCACACAATACTACAACTCATCCCTCAGTCAGAAAACACCAGCAAGAATCACACACTGATGCATTACGACAGAAGGCTATGGGGCAAGTGCAGCGAAAGCCAGAATGTGTGTTTATGTTTTTATTAAAGCACTAACTCAGCTCACAGCAAGAGTTTTTTTCTGGGATATAATGTTTAGCACACATTATGGAAACAGTAACATTTTTAATGTGTTTTAAAGAAGTCTCTAATGCTCACCAAGCCTGCATTTATTTGATCAGAAATATAGCAAAAGCAGTAAAATTGTGAAATATTATTACTATTTAAAATAACTGTTTTCTATGTGAATATCTGTTAAGCTGTAATGTATTTCTGTGATGCGCAGCTGTATTTTCAGCATCATTCCTCCAGTCTTCAGTGTCACATGATCTTCAGAAATCAGTATAATATGCTGATCTGCTGCTCGAGAAATATTTATTATTAATATTTAAAACAGCATTCTTTCAGAATTCTTTGATGAATAGAAAGATCCAAAGATCAGCATTTATCTGAAATAAAAAGCTTTTGTAACATTTTACACTACCCTAAATAATTTATTTATTTTTGATAAAGAAATTATAGAAATTAATACTTTTATTTAGCAAGGATGCTTTAAATTGATCAAAAGTGATGATAAAGACATTTATAATGTTACAAAAGATTTCTATTTCAGATAAATGCTGAAAAAATCTACTCAACTGTTTTAAATATGAATAATAATAATAATCAGAAATGTTTCTCGAGCAGCAGATCAGCATATTATACTGATTTCTGAAGATCATGTGACACTGAAGACTGGAGTAATGATGCTGAAAATACAGCTGCGCATCACAGAAATACATTACACTTTAACAGAGATTCACACAGAAAACAGCCGTTTTACATTCTAATAATATTTCACAATATTGCTGCTTTTGCTGTATTTCTGATCAAATAAATGCAGGTTTGGTGAGCAGAAGAGACGTCTTTAAAAAAAAAACCCATAAAAAATCCTGCTGTTCAAAAACGTTTGACTGGTACTTGTTTCAGAATCTTCAAAAGTAACGTTCCCATAATGTTTGCAATATTATAAATCTGAACGTTTCCTTAACGTTCGCCACTTAAAAGACTGGAAAAAACTGGAATAACGTTTTCATAACTGGAATGTTAATAAATCTTAATAAACAAAGCTAAATCTTCCTTTTTTAGTGTTTTAACTGTGTTACAGATTGGATTTTTCTCAACGCACACATCACTTTGTTGTATTTTTTTCACATATCAAACGAAAGTTGTCATGTTTCGTGGTTGCATATGTTGTTAGAGGGATTTAATCACACTAGTCTCAAGTCTAGTGGTGAAACTTTCAAAAGCAGAGCGAGTGTTTGAACATTTATCCTGGTTTGAAGTCTAGCCCCATTGACGTTTATTGCAACTGCATCACTCTCAAGGTGATTTTTGAGTGAACGCGTCACAGATGCCGCCCATAAAGACGCACTGTATTTAACCCAGAACAGTTTCTCTTTGTTTGCATCCTGTAGAGACACTTTCCACCGAACTAGTGACAATAGGAGTCTTTGATCTACAATGCGGCCCCACAGAATCCAGCGGGTCACGCTGCTAATGACCGCCGTATCCTGTGTGCTGATTGGCTGTGGAACCTGTCAATCAAACTCATCCAATGGCTTCCAGCTCTCCGATGACCTGACAGCCGTCCATAGCTCAGGTCACGAATCTCTGATGATGCCCTCGGGGTCAAAGCACGTGACCCCTGACCCCAGAGCTGTCCGGCCGCTGTCGCTGCCCCCGGCGTGTCTGAGGAGGACCTACATCGAGGGCTTGTTCAAATACGTCAACACGGTTCTGTCCAGCCTCATCTTTGTGGTGGGGATGGTGGGAAACGCCACGCTGCTGAGGATCATCTACCTCAACAAGACCATGAGGAACGGCCCGAACGCTCTGATCGCCAGCCTGGCTCTGGGAGACCTCATCTACATCGCCATCGACATCCCCATCAACGTCTATAAGGTAACGATCACAGGAACCAATCAGAACACTAGATCATGTGCGTGTGTGTTTATTAGTGATCATTTAGGCACAAAACTGTGTCACAAACTTGCTTTTAGTGTCAAAAAATGATGAAAAAATCATGTAAGTAATGGGAGGTTTGGGTTTAGATTAGTCTGTAGTTAATATAACTAGCTTAATGATTTAGATATCTAAGTCAGTGTTATTTGATGTTAGTGTCAATGTTATATTAAACTACTATTTTTGGTAACACTTTACTATAAGGTTCCATTAGTTAACTAACATGAATGAACAATGAACAGTACATTTATTACAGTATCATCTTTGTTAAGGAAAATACAGTCGTTCATTGTTAGTTCATGTTAGTTGACAGTGCATTAACTAATATTAACTATAGCACAACTTTTGATTTTAATAATGCATTACTAAATGTTGAAATTAACATTAACTAAGATGAATAAATGTTGTGTTCATTCTTAGTTCATGTTAAGTAAAGTAGTTAACTAATTAACCTTATTGTAAAGTGTTACCCTATTTTTATATATTAATATAGTTTTAATTTAATTTAAAAATTGTCTTTTAATTATATAAATTGTAATTTTAGTTTAAGTTTTAGTAATTTTGCAGTGTCTTATAAATTAAATTTAATGTATTTACAATTAATTTTTTTTATTTTACTTCTATTTAGCTTTATTTTTTTATTCCAGTTTTAGTTTTAGTAAATTTAATACTTCAACTTAAACTCATCTTTTTTTATTTCTTATATACATTTATAAGTTGGAGCACACGTCTGAAAAGTCTCCCGCTTTATGTGTCGTAAAGACATTCTGCGTCTAAATAAACACAATTCTTGTCAAGAAAATAGAGACAGAAGCAGCCGTTGTGAGTGGGGGTCAATTGCATTAAATATTTTTAAGGCGTTAAACTAAAATTATTAATTTTGAAAGCACTAATATATATATATATAAACCAACACTGATCTAGGTAAGCGTGTGCAGCAGTGGGTCAGTCAGGCTTATTTTGGGACAGTTATCAGTCTAACACTCATCACACGTTCAATCACACACACGTGACTCACTTCACAACACACACGTCACGAAGATAAAAGCGCTTCATTCGTTTGTCTTTTAATATATCACACAGGTGGTGAAGATATGCTTTAACAGAGTCTGAACTCTTTGTGTGTGTGTGTGTGTGTGTGTGTGTGTGTGTTGTAGCTACTGGCGATGCGGTGGCCCTTCGATGACAGTGTGTTCGGTCTGTTCCTGTGCAAACTGATGCCGTTTCTACAGAAAGCGTCAGTCGGAATAACAGTTCTCAATCTGTGTGCACTCAGTGT